CCGCCCCATTAGATAAATATGATATCCATATCCACCCTACATCCATGCGGATATTCGTTAAGCGGTTAATCTGCGGGTTTTACTGTATCCACAGATATTTACAGATATCCATGGATAATATTTTTTTTAAAAAAAGAAATTTTTTAACTTCTTTTAAAGACACAAAAAGTTATTAGCACATAACATCCATACAATTCGTTCTCAATTTAATAATAAAATTTTATCACATTAATTTTGTTCTTATTCACCAAAACATAATATTCATACATTTCATTTTTAACCAAACAAATAAAAGATAATGTGATTGTGAGTTATGAGGGAAGATCGGACGACAAAGGAGTAGGAAGGGAGACATTGATTCGACAGAATAATGACGATATTAGTTGGTTGGACTGTGAAATTGATGAAGTGATGTATGAAGTATGGAAGAGTTTAGATATGAAATGGCTAATAGAATTTGAATGAAAAGTGAAAGGTTTTCTTCAAAAAAAATTTAAAAACAAAAAAAAAGTATAAGAAGTCTAATTTTTTTAGAAGATGAAAAGATAAGGTATAACAAACTAATGATATCTAAATCATTTTTATAATTTATAAACGGATATGAATATCCACGGGTATGGATATCAATAAACACATATTCATACCCATTAACAAACGGGTATTTGAATATTCATTTATTTTATCCGTGGATATCCATTAAGCTACCCGCCCCATATCCGTGACGACTTTTATCAACGGATATCTGCGGGTATGGATTTTTTTGCCATCCCTAACCTCATCCCACCAAAAATCGAGGTAAAAAGTCAACGCGTGCCACATTTTATATTATTTTTTTAATAAATTCCACATATTCTCTCGGTTTCAAAATAAAACTGAGGAGAAAATTATTTCAAGACATGCTTTGAATCCCAACATCAGTAGTTTATATTTTTATTTCTATAAAAGTGGTTTCTTTATTTTTATTTTATTTTAATTTTAAAATTAGTGATATATTCCTTCGGTTATATTTAATAGCCGAGGGATTACATTATCATATTTTATTACAAAAGCACCCGTTAATCAAATTTTACCCTAAACCTAACTTATATGCAGCCGCTCTAAAGTCTTACACATCATTCTTTGGGATGGATTGCAAGACAGAAAAAATCTCCCATGTTCTTCAATCTCGAACAAAATATTTTTTTCTGCCCTTGCAATCTATCTCTTATAATGATGTTGTTGTTGTTGTTGTATTTATGTAATAACCTTCCTATGTTGTCAATCAAAGAAAACATTGAGAAATTTATTGATTTCCTCGGTTAACAACATTGAGAAATTTATTCTTAAACACGATCATCCATTTGTCTTTCATGCTCTCTTTCATTTGAAAGCATTTGTCATGACAATATTTGCTAAATATAATGAAATCTCTCTGGGATGGATTGCAAGTACAAAAAAATAATTTCTCTTAGTTGGAACATATAATTTCTCAAAAATCTAAAAAACAATGTAAATATAAAAAAATTTCTCTTGTTTGGAATTGATAACCTTTCTTGGTTGTTCTCCAAGAATCCATTGTCAAACTCTTGATTTGCTTAAGTAATTTATTTCAATATTCTATTTAAAAAATGTAAATATAAAAAAAACTTTTTCCCCTCGATTTTTAACAGAAATCGAGAGGCGTGTAGCTTGGATTGGAACATATTTTATTATTTTTTATTTAAAAAGAAACACATTTTACCTTGGTTTTGACTAATAACTGAGGTAAACTATAAACGTGTTTATTCAGTTTCTTCACCGTCCTTACACAAATCTTCGTCGTCCATTTAATGAGTATCAACGTTCAAGATACTGCCATTAGTATCCTCGTGAGACCTAAATTCCTCATTATAAAAGCATTCTAAATATTTAAATTTGATAGTAGTGATTCCACAAGAAACCCAAACTTTGTTGTGAAACCTCTGTGTTTAATTAAAGCGCCATGGGATTTTACAAAGTAAAAGCATCAATGTAATAGATTGCAAGAGTAGAAAATTATTTGGGTTCAAGGTTTGTGTTCTTAAATAATCATAGAACTGTATATTTATTTTATTTATCTAACTTTTTTTGTTGTTTTATAACCAAAACAAATGAATGCAAAAGCAATAGAAAATATAATGCATTCAACATTTGATATTCCTCAAGATCAACGAAACTAGGATCCCCAACATTTGCTGTTCTCTAAGATATCCAACATTTGTTCTTCACCGACAACGATGATGATGAAGAACAACATTTTTACTTTAATATTCTGTGTAAATGATGTAATAAGTATATATATATATATATATATATATATATATATATATATATATATATATATATATATATATATATATATATATATATATATATATATATATATATATATATATATATATATATCCCCGATTTTGTTATTAAATCAAGAGGTATATGATGCTAGTTTGAAAAGTATAAAAAAATTATTGTTGTGGTTTGAACCCATGACCATTTAAACTAACCCAACGGTAATTTATAAACCGATGGGTAAAGTTTCTATTTTTCATGTCACCCTTCATTACCTTAGCATTATAAGCAAGGTGAAATCTATTTCGTGTCCGACATGACATGTGTTATTTGTAGTAATGTTATATAATTCATTGTCAAATATTATTTTATGTTAATGTTGCATCAATGGATGATCAAACATATTATCTAATAAAAAGTTCTAATGAAGATGTCTGAGTAATGTTATATGTAATATACAAATAATATGTAAAGATAAAAATAATGTCTAAATAGGTCCCCCACGAGCTATGTGTGCAGCCCGAGATAATCCAGTAATACCTCACCATTTGGGTTTACCAAACCCATGACTTTATCCATAATAACTACAATAATTTGAAGGTGCTGCTGGTCATCGACATCAGCTGCAGGAGGCGGCGGTGACACGTCATCGACAGGTACCTCAACATCGGAGGCACAACATCATCTGTATGCTCAACAGGTGGGATGATGCGACATTGTGATATAGTGAGGTACCACTCCAAGTAACCATCCTCACACTGTGAGGCGTGTTGAATCGTAACCACGTGATCTATAATGGCACAACCAGAGTTGATGCCGTTACTCTGAAACCACCTATCAATTCCCGTAGATGGAATATTAGGAACTGGTCATGGGATGCTCTAAACATAACCATATTGTCGCATACACCTCTCAGGAAAGTGTCAGCGACCATGGTCTCTCACCACATATAACCTGAATATAAAGAAGAGTCATCAAACTCAAGGTGGACACTATGATCAATGTATGGTATCCATATGACATTATCTACAGTCAACACATCTAGCATCCTCATGTACTCTGCAACACCAGCGGGATGTGACTGCATGGCCTTCTACCTCCCCGCCCGTGGCCCCCTCATTGGGGAATGTTGCACCGACTTGTCACATATGATGTGGAAATGCCTGTATATCCAACACTGAAATCAAAACATATACACAATAAATAATAATTAAGAAACGTTATCTGTAACAATTAAATAAGAGCTCAATAACAAATAATAATTTCAAAGAATACATGTAATAGACTCAAATAACCACCAAAGTGTCTGGTCTCAAATGACGTCGTCACTCCAAGTGTTGTATATAGGATGGTCAACACAACGCACCCCCAAACCCAACTGGTAACGTCAAGGCTATTGAACAGGCACATGTACCACGGGTCGATATAAACACTTAACTTGTCCGTAAAGATAGTACATGCTATTAGATATATCATGTACACCTTAGCAACAACCTCATACTTATGTGCCACAACAAGCTCCTCGTACCTATTCTAAAGCCAAGATATACGAAGGTGAACACTCTTGTTAAAGTCAAACTCCTTCAGCACGAGCTCCTCAGAAACTCCAAAATCTTGTACAACAGTCAAACATGCAAGTGACATGTTAATAATCAAATTCGTGAAAATTTTTCTAGCGATGAGAAGATGGAACAATGAGGAGACATCATCCATAGTGATAGTCATATCCCAACACGAAAGATGAAATGAAGATGTCTCTTTATGCCATTGCTTAACAAAAGCAGTAAGAAGTGGAACATCGAGCATGACAAGTGCAGTCGGCAAAATCAAGAGCTCAAAATCACGTACAATACGCTTGATCTTGTAACAGATGAATTTTAAAAAAAATTAGCAATTAGCTTTCATGGAACAATAATAAATAAATTAAAGTTAATCTGAAGTGCCGTTCTTTTTGTTTGATCTTGTAACAGATGAATTTTAAAAAAAATTAGCAATTAGCTTTCATGGAACAATAATAAATAAATTAAAGTTAATCTGAAGTGCCGTTCTTTTTGTCGCTCTTCCTGCAACAGTGTGATCCTTGCCCTTGTATCTCAACAACCCTAATCTGGTGTGCCGTTCTTTCTGTCGCTCTTTCTGCAACAGTGTCGTCCCTACCCTTATATTTCATTGCAAAAATTGGAAAACATAAAAAAGATTACTTTAAGAAATTTTAATAATGGAAATTCTGAAATTTTTGGGGAAATTTTTTTTATAACTACCGAAAATTCTGGAAATTTGTAGATCATTTGTACGATAAATTGTGAAATTTATGAGAAAATTGTTTTCACAAATATGAGAAATTTTGAAATTCACGGTACAAATTCACGCAACTTTCATAATTTACGGTAAAAAAAATATATTATTTTTGAAATATTTGATATTTCTCGAGAAAATTCGTAATTCACACTTGTGATTGGTAAATTTCGAAGAGTGAAAAATATTACAAAATTAGTATGGACTATTCATAAGATATGGAGGTTGCATGTATAAGTGTAAGATTCACAAGTTAAAATCTCCATTAATTTTTGGAATGGGCTTCCGTTTAGCCCAAAATTCTACTACGTTAGGCTATCTGCCCGTTGGAAAAAATCGAATTTTGGGAATTTCTTCAGGTGGCCACAGGTCAGGAGAAGCAGTGGCAGCAAGCTACAAACTGATCAGAGAAGAAAAAAATGGCGGCGTTGAAGGGGTTATTGAAAAAAGGTTTAGGAGAAATGGATTTCAACACCGGTGGAGGACTCATTAACTGGTTCCCAGGACACATGGCTGCCGCCACACGTGCCATCCGTAACCGCCTTAAACTCGCCGACCTCGTCATCGAAGTCAGAGACGCTCGTATTCCACTCTCCTCCATCAATGTCAATCTTCAACCTCACCTCTCCGCTAAACGACGTGTCATCGCACTCAACAAAAAAGACTTAGCAAATCCCAACATCATGCATGTAATAATCTAATTAACTGTTTAATCATCCTTTTTTTCTTCATAGTTTCTGTGAATTGTTGATTATTTGATTGTGTTGTAGAAATGGGTGAATTACTTTGAGACGAGTAAGCAAGATTGCATTCCGATAAATGCTCACAGTAAGAGTTCTGTTACGAAGCTTCTGGAACTTGTGGAGGTGAAATTGAAGGAAGTGATTTCGAAAGAACCTACTTTACTTGTTATGGTAGTTGGTGTTCCTAATGTTGGGAAATCTTGTTTGATTAATTCCATTCATCAGATTGCGAATTCGCGATTTCCTGGTAAGAGCTTTTGAGATCAATCTCAATGAATTGGAATCTCTGTTGGTGTTTTAGGACTTTTTTTATTATGTTTTGATTTTTTCAACTTACAGTGCTTATAGCATTAACACTTATCATATGAGTGTGGTCATGTGTATGTATAAGCTATAACCTATTTCCATAACAAAATATTAAATAGTCTAACTATTTTCATATAAGTTATAAGCTGTTATACTTAGAGAGCATATAGATAATGTTATAAGCTGTTTTCGTAAGTCATCCCAAAACCTCTAAAAAGTGCTTATGTAACGTGTTTGAACTTGCTTTCTAGTGCAGGAGAAGATGAAGCGAGCTGCTGTGGGTCCACTACCTGGTGTTACTCAAGATATTGCAGGGTTTAAGGTATGGTAAACTTTATATCCACAGCCTCAATATTCGCTCGGTTCATTTGTTCATAGTGAAATGAAATGTTCTTATGGAGGAACCATATTGAAGTGTTTACTCAAAGCGTTACAACTGTAGCAGCATATTGCGGGATTTGAATTCTTGTGTTGATTGTTTGCTATCAAGGTTAATTTGAACTGAGTAATTGAATTATAATTGGAAGTTTCATGATCGATGATTTGAAAATGCATAAAATATATTTTGATGTAATAAAACATTATAATCCGTAAACATCTAACAACGAGCAGTAATGTAATCGTCAAAATTACCTGAGATTTCAGTGTTGGTAGTTAGAAAGGTAATGTTTTAAGGTCATTATGGTACTGCACACATGATGCGTATTTGGCAGTTACCGCTTTGTACCACATTACATATTTCTTGCCTATTCCAATTTCCAAAGAGTATACTTGCTCATTATGATTCGGAAAATGATTGTAATTTTGTTTAGTTTGAATGCGCTTCAGAGATTAAATTTTAGTCATTCCCTAATCCAAGAATTTTGTGATAATTGATTGATTATTTAAAATATGAATGAAATATTATTTGAAAAAGAGTTTAGGGAGAAAAGAGGCAATGCTTATTCCATCATTCTCATTGATTTTGTTTATGTTATTGGCTTGCCATATCTATTTCTATTTTGAGTTGGTGGTGCTGCTGCTCATTACTTAACTAAGATTTTCTCCTGATGTTTTAGATAGCAAACAAACCAAGCATATATGTCCTAGATACCCCAGGGGTTCTGGTTCCAAGTATCTCAGACATTGAGACAGGGTTAAAGCTTGCTCTTGCAGGTACTTATTCAAAGCTTGTTTAGACCTCTTTTGTGGACACTGAATTATGAAATGGAATTTGGATAGATATTTTAATTTTTTTATCTTACTCTTAGTTTCCCATCAGTCTGCAAACTAATTTGCTAATCCGTAAAAGGATGAAATGGTTTTCATCTTGATAACATAATTGTTTGTTGATTGCTAAATACTTGTAGCCCCATTTAGTTATTGCAATTCCGTTTAAATTACGTGTATAGTATACAATCAGTACTTTGTTCCCTATTTCTCATTTTTGGCGACAAAATGATAGGAGGATGGTTCTCTATTCAGGTTGATGAAAATATCATATTGCATATTCGGTACCTTAAACCGTCAATTAGAAACACTACTGAATTTTACTTCTAAAATTTGTTGTTTTTGAGGTTTTAAGTAATCATCAATACAACATAAGCATATGACTGGTTTTTAATGTGTGAATTTAAAAAATTAAAAAAAAACTGGAGAAGGAGGAAATTATTGTTAATATCAGTGACACTAATGGTCATTCTACAACTAATTGTCTTAGGTGAAATTTGAACTCTGTTCCTTTAGGTTTTAAAGACAAAACTCTTACCACTGAGATAACACCTCTTGGATGGTTTTAATGTGTGTATAATACAGTGCCAGAAAAGGAAAATCATTAGCATCTTACTAATTATTCTTATATATAAATTGGAATTAAGGGTACTCCAGGTCAAATAAACTATTGAGATGACATTTTCAATGAGTGAATTTTTTTTCTTCAAAAAAGCAAAATAAATTTACATTTCAAACTACCGTCGGTAATTTGAAAAGATGCTTTTGCACTGAACAACTTTCATGATTCTTGTGTATTCCCTTTTTATTCTGATACAAATGTTCTTAGGAATAAAATGATTGTCAGTAGATTGTCTTTGGATGTGGCATATTTTATCATTATTAATGAGCCATCTCATGCACTAGCAGTCTCATTAGATCTTAGTTCTTAATTTTGTCTTTACATCTCTCGTTGTTGCTGTTTTAATTTCCCAGAAAATTTTGGCATTTGAATATCTCATCTCCTCATGATCTTGTTCTTGAGGGTATGAAACATGCAAATTAAATTAAAAGTGTCTCGATGAGGCATATGCATCTATTGGGTTTCTGAATATGATATCCTTAGCAACATATCTGTGTGTATATTTTGTCTTGTAAACTTGGCTGTTTCATCAACAGGGTCTGTTAAAGATTCAGTGGTGGGCGAGGAGCGAATTGCTCAATACTTTTTGGCAGTTTTAAATACCCGGGGTACTCCATTTCACTGGAAGCACCTCAATAATAGGAAAGTTGATGGGATTGCAAATGAACCCGAGGAAAATCATAGATACGACCTGAAAAATCTTAAGCAAAGGAAAGGTGTGCCTAACCGATCTGACTTGGTATATGTGGAGGTAACAAATAGCATTAAAGGAATATGATACTTTAAAGTTTGAAAAATTCCTAGTTATATTACATTTTTCAAATGTTTTAAACCCATTTCAAGGGAAGCTTTTTTCTCTAGTCTAGATGTTTAGTCCTAAGTTGTTTCATCAATTATTGCTGTCTTTGATCATGTTATGATTTGTGATGATGGACCTCATTTGTTCTTATTTAATAATAGGATATTGTGCTCGGAGTTCAGCATGCACTCTATTCGACTCTAGCAGAATTCAATGGCAACGTTGAAGATGAGAGTGACTTGGAGAACTTGATTGACCTGCAGTTTGGTGCACTGCAGAAGGCGTTGAAGATACCTCACAAGGCTTCAGAAGCACGTTTGATGGTATCCAAAAAGTTCCTTACTCTATTCAGGGCTGGTAAACTAGGACCTTTTATTCTCGATGATGTCCCTGTTGCCAAGCCTGTATAAAAGATATACACTGTTCCAGTCGAGTCTCAGCAAAATTAATACCTACTATGCCCCATAACACTGCATAACCGTAGAGCATATAAAAGATTTCTAAAGAGTAATGTTGGTGGAGTCCAAAGCCTGTAAATTTTGAAGATTACCATAAAATAAAAACTCACTGTTGGTATGTCATTGATTAGTTTGTATGTTTTATATACCGGAAAATGTCTGTTTAATATAGCAAATCAATGATAAAGGTACAATCTGGACATTCTTTAATCAGATTTGGATTAAGTGCATTGTTTTGGTCCTATGATCTGGATCAGTATTCCAAATTTCAAAATAGATTTTGATTTTTAATCGACTGGACCATATGACTTGGTCATACTTCTGAATGACTCCACACAATAAGGATCTTCAATCACTATGATTTTGAGCACGTGTACAAACTTTTATTAGCCTCTCTTTTAGCCTCGTTACACTCAAAAGAATAGAAATCTAAACTATCTGCAACCTTCAATAACGACTATTTAACCTCACACTATGAAAAGACAACTGTTTATGCAAATTCATTTTTCAAAATTTCAAAATTTACAATGTAGAGGTGAAAATTTTAAATTCTTGAAGCGATACCAAAAATTTCGAGCGTTTAAAAACAAAAAGTTTTTATGCTGAGTATTTCAAAATTTCTAGTATTTTGTACTCGGTGTTTACATTGAGATTTATCGAAAATTTTAAAATTTTTGGTGTTTAAATTGAACTCTATCGGAAAATTTAAAATTTCTAATACAAAATCCAATTCATTATATTAGAAATTTCAAAATTTTTGATAGTTATAAAAATTTGATTTTGTATCGGAAATTTTGAATTTTTAGTATATTCTATGGTTTTGTATCGAAAATTTTGAAACTTCTGATAGTTGCAAACATTTTTTTTGAATTTTTTTCTTCTTTTGCAGTGAAATATAAATCCAGAGACGACACTATTGCAAAGAGAGCTGTTGATCGAGCGACGTACCATAGTAGGATTGTTAGGGGTGCTGATGTTGAGTCTTCCCATATACGGGCAGGACGAATGACCTCAACCGATTCACACCAGAAGTAGTTGATTGAGCAGTGTCAGTTTCGAGTACCTCGTTGCACTAAATGTTGACCTGGACGATCAGTAGAGGAGCCTAGGGATGAGGTGATGCCAGATGTTGTTGCTGATCTGGTGGTTGATTAGATTGTTGATCCAGTTGTTGAACCGTTAGTTGAGGAGGTAGTTGGGGAGGTTGCTCGGGTGGTCTAGCCAAATGCTGCTACTGCTAATCCAGTCTTATTGGTTACTGATGACACGAAGATTATGGCTCCATTGACTAAGCCCTCTGTGCACACTGATGGAGGATTCCTTAGAAGATCCACCAAACGGTCAGTGCTTATAGAGTATGTTGACCATGTGACATTATGACTATGGCAGGGCGAGATATATGTCTTTTACGTTTAACTTTAACTATTGTTTATAAATGTTTGTCATATGAGCGACCCACACCGAAGGTGGCATCGCACAGGTCCAGTATGAAGGACTTCCCAAAGATTCTGATGCCTGAGCAGGTTAGTTGGATTATACATAAGTTCCAGCTGCTTGACTTTGCCACTCTCCTTCACCATGCTCGACGCTCCACTACTTAGTACGTTTGTTGAGAAGTGGCACAAGGAGACATCTTCATTTCATCTTCCGTTTGGGGAGATGATTATTACTCTGGATGATGTCTCGATATTGTTCCATCTTTCCATTGGTGGAAGATCTAAATGGCTCCCGTTCTTAGCATGTCCCTTGCATGACAAACTGTTGCACGAGATTTGAGATTATTTGAGGTAGAGGTACATAATGATTTTGGCGAGATCAGGGGCGCGCACTTTCGTATGTCTTGGCTTCAGAAGAAATACGATCAACTTGTAGTTGCTGGGAGGTATGAGGATGTCGCTAGGGCGTATATGCTACATATAGTAGCATGTACTCTCTTTGCGGACAAGTCTAGTGTTTATATCGATGCCCGATATGCGTACCTCTTTAGTAGCCTTGGGAAAACCAGTTGGGCTTGGAGGTGTGTTGTGTTGACCCTTCTGTATACAACCCTTGGAGTGGCAACGGTCTTTAAGACCAAACAACTTGTTGGCTATTTGAGTCTGTTACAGGTATACTTGAAATTATTATTTGTTGTTGATTTCTTATTTAATTTTATGAATAACATTTCTTATTTATTATTTGTTGTATCTCTGCTTCGATATCATTGTTGGATATACGATCATTTTTCCATCATCTGTGATAATAAGGTGCAACATTGTAAGGAAGGGTCCCCACAGGCGAAGAGGTGGAAGGCTAGACAGTCACATCCTGGTGGTGTTGCTGAGAACAGGAAGAGGCTCGATGCATTGAATGTTGATGATGTCATCTAGAATCCATACACTAATCATAGAGTTCACTGTGAGTTTGAGGAGTTGTCATTATATTCAAGTTATATGCGGTGGGAAACCATGGTTGCTAGGCACTTGTCTGAGAGGTGTCTGCGACAATATGGTTATGAGTATCCCACGACCAAATCGAAATATACCATCTTCAGGTATTGATTGGTGGTTTCTTAGTAACTTCATCAGCTCTGGTCGTGCCATTAGAGATCGAGCAGTCATTGTTTAACACCCCACGCAGTGTGAGAATGGTTACTTAGAGTGGTACCTCACTATATCACACCCTCACATCACCCACCTCCAGCTGATGTTAGACCTTCTGATGTTGGAGTACCTGTTGATGATGTGCCGCTGCCGCCTCCTCCAGCAGATGGTGCTGATGACCAACATCGACTTCAGATAATTGCAGTTATTATGGATAACCTCATGGGTTTGGTAATCCCATATAGCGAGGTTTATACTGGATTATCTCAGGTTGCACACATAGCCCATGGGAGACCTATATAAACATCTTTTGTATTATGTATTATTTGTATATTATTCAGACATCTTTATCATAACTCTTTGTTTGCTAATATTTTTTTATCTTCCTTAAATTGCAACGTCAACATTAACTAACATCTAGCAATGGATTACATAACTTAAACACACAAAAATTAACACTGTCACATGATTAATAAATAAGAAAAACTTAAACACTACCAGATAATTCTGAACGTTTCAGCATCTCCATTATGTCGTCAACAAATCTTTAAAGCTTAACATCTAACTCCATCGACCCCTTTGTTATCCTACGGAAAAATGATCCACATTTTCTTCACATCTTCATTGGTCTTCAACTCAATAAGGTTGTATTTCACCTTTTGTCAGTATTAATCCAATCTTCACAAACTCGATCTTTCTCACCTTTCTGTGTTCGACATCAGGAAATAATTCATTCAAATTGGACACCAGGTCCGCAAGAGATGTGGTGTCATATGGAAATCAAAACTCTACAGGAGGTGAAACTCCATTGAAGTACACTTCTGCCTTAATAAAAAATTGTGGAAGAGGAATTTTTTGAGACGTGTTTATCAAACAACATGTGACTTTCTAGTTATACAACTTTGCATTTACTCTGGACCGCACAAAATTGCCGGTGCGATCACAACCATCCAAACTGTCGACAAAATTCTGAACATCCAAAAAATCAATCAAATAACTCTATCAAAAATTTTGCTTTGGTTGAAATTTTGGGTATCACCAAGTAAATTTCAAATTTCTAGAACTGATTGAAACTGTACCAGAAATTTCATTATGACTACCGAAAATTTTGAACAAAAATTTGATCCATTTTTCAGCCAGAGACAGTTTTGAAAATATGAAAGTTTGGAAGGGAGAGACCAGTTATAATTTGGGGGGTTACAAGTTAAATTATCTCCAATCACTAAACCAAGGTATGATTTAATTTTCTTAGTTAAAAACCTAGTCTTTAGTACATTAAACAAATCCAATTTAGATTTAGTATTTAAGATTGGGAGTTGCTCTTTCTTCCCTTATAGGTGCGACTCACATCTATAAAAATTTGAGACATTCTTGCTGTGTTTGGATCAACAAAAATGTTGCAAGTGAGACATTTTTATTTTATCTAAAGATATATTCAGAGATGTATCTCTTAAATCCGGAGGTCGGTATCTCCATACACAATTCCACAAAATAGGAATTTCTTCCCTCCGTACCATCTTAGTATCCAAATAAAGTGTAATGAAAAACAAATTTCATTATGATTCAAAAGTTAGTACCATCTTATTATCCAAATAAAGTGTAATGAAAAACAAATTTCATTATGATTTAAAAGTAAGTGGTACAACACTGCTTAGTTAACAAGTTTAGTTATTATTACCAGAGAGTAAAAATAACTCTAAATATAGTTTAGACTAATTAAAATTTTGTTTAAATGAAGGTAAATTTTTTTTCTTTTAATTTTATCTCGAGGTCTATTTTGGTCCCTCAATTTTAAAAGAGATCAAGTTAATTCTTTAATTGTTCAAATAACACCACATTAACTCTTTTCGTTTGACCCGTTAGTCAAAGTCAATTTTAGTGTACATGTGGCACATACATGTCGTTGAGGTGGATCACATGCTACCTTAAAAAAGAAACTGAAGGGTTTAGTTCATAAAACACATGTAGAGCAATTAACGAAGGAACACTAACAGAGCAATTGACGAAGGAGGAATCAGCTGTAATTTTCAAAATGAGGAGAGTAGGCGAAGTCGAAACCTTGTTTGAAAGTGAAATCGAATACACCAATATTGATTAAATATTTGTTTCATGAAATCTTTTTGCAATTCTAAAATGTTGTAGTTTTAGTAGGTGTTTATGGTTTCTGCAACTTTCTGAACTCTATCTATTTCGGAGATTCTATTTTTAGCGTATAGTTTGAAATGGATGAATATTTACATATAAAAATAAATCACGGTGGTGAATTCATTGATGAGGGAATTGATGTGTATGAAGGAGGAGAAGTTGTTGATTTGAAACTAGAGGTTGACAGTGGAGTTACTTTGAGTTGTTAGGCTGCTTCAAGGAGTT